CCCAAGGGGGGGGGGGGGGGGGGGAACCCCCCCCCCCCCCCCCCCCCCCCCCAAAATCCCTCTCTCTGCTTCAACTTATGCACCAGAATTAATTCATCAGAATTGCACTTCCCTAATACTTGCCAGTAAGCATGGACATTTCGCAGCCAACATGGGCTCATGAAATTTACAATGCCAGCTAAATTGGCAGAATTTAGTAACCATAATGACCAATATAAAAGTCCCAGATGACACACAGCATAGCAGCTAAACAGATGAAAACCAACACCATTTAGCCTATAATTTCATAATAGCTGCAACAGATATGTTGGCTATTTTAAATTACACCGAAATATTGTTTTTTGTTCTGTTATTTACTCTTCTTTATTTCAGAAACTTCAATTCAAAAAGAAAGGGAAGTGCGTTACCTACTAACTGGCCAGTTCTTGGTATGATGCCAGCAGTAATTGTCAATGCTCACAGATTCCATGACTATCTCACCGAGCTTCTTGAGATTACTGACACGTTTTGGTTTAAAGGCCTCTGGTTTACTAACAGTGAGATATTGCTGACTAGTGATCCAGCTAATGTTCACTACATATTGAGCAAAAATTTTCCAAACTTCACAAAAGGTCCTGAATTTAAGAAGATATTCGACATTTTAGGAGATGGGATATTCAATGCAGAATCGGAATCCTGGAAAAACCAAAGGAGAACTGTTATGTCGTTAATCAATCACCACAAGTTCCAAAAGTTCGTTGCTACAATTAGCCAGAACAAGGTGGAAGAAGGGCTCATCCCAGTTCTTGAGAATGCTGCAAAAATGGGAAAGGAAGTGGATATGCAAGAGTTATTTCAGCGTTTCACCTTTGATTCTGCTTGCATTATGGTTTTAGGCCATGATCCAGCTTCATTGTGCATTGATTTGCCCCATTTGCCATATGAAAAGGCCTTTGCTGATGCTGAGGAGGCACTTTTGTACAGGCATATTCTCCCAGAAACTTACTGGAAGCTTGAAAAGTGGCTCAATCTTGGCAAAGAGAAGAAACTTAGTGAAGCTAAGGACACTGTGAATCAATTTCTGATGCATTGTATCTCACTGAAGCGCCAGAAAGTAAAATCCATTGACCAAATTTCAGAGCACGAAAATGAAGATTTTGCATTCTTAACAAGTTATATGAAAGCAGTTGAAGAAAACGGTGATGCACCTGATCACATATCTGACAATGTATGGAAAGACACCATGCTGAATTTAATCTTTGCTGGTAAAGACACAATAAGTGCAGCTCTTACTTGGTTTTTTTGGCTTCTATCAACAAATCCGATTGAAGAAAAAAAGATTCGAGAAGAAATCAAGACGAATTTACAAGTCAATGAAAAAGGAAAATGGAAATTTTCCAACACGGAAGAGTTAAAGAAACTGGTCTATCTACACGGTGCACTGTGTGAATCATTACGCCTATTTCCACCAGTGGCTTTGCAGCATAAAGCGCCGATAAAGCCAGATATTCTTCCGAGTGGACATCAGATCAAACCGAACATGAAAACTGTTTTATCCTTCTATTCAATGGGAAGAATGGTATCCATATGGGGGAAAGACTGTCTACAGTTCAAGCCAGAAAGATGGATTTCCGAACAAGGACGGATCAAGCACGAACCATCTTTCAAATTTACTGCATTTAACGCAGGGCCGAGGAGCTGTTTAGGGAAGGAGATGACTTTCATTCAAATGAAAATAGTTGCAGCCTCCATTATAAACAGTTACCATTTTCAAGTGGTAAAAGGCCCTATAGCTCCAAGTAACTCTGTTGTGCTTCACATGAAACATGGAATGAAGGTTACTGTATCAAAATTGTTTGACGAATCCTAGAAATTGATCGTGCTTGGGTTTGGGAATAAAAAGTGGTTTCCGTTTGTAATTTGCTAATTGTTAAGTGATATGATTGTAATAAAGCATTGATACGCTTAGATTAAATGGCACGATGCTCTGTTGGTTTCTAAGTGGTTATATGAATGGTGTTGAAGTTATAATTTGATATTTCAAAGTCAGTTGCTTATTTATTTACGTGTTCTTGATTCATCAAACACATTTCTTAAAAATTAATATTTTTCCACTGATTAAATTTTCAATAACATACAAGAAAATTGCAAGATTAATATCTAATGTAGGCTCTTGTTGCAACTTGGTCTTTATTCGGGATCAAAGGATTTCACCCTTAAGTATCTCGTACCAACTTAATCATAACCTAATTTTTTGGACATATGATGTTCTTAGAATGGAGGAGACATAGGTCCTATTGAATTCGGTCCAAAACTTGCACATATGTTGTTCCTCGGCCTAGCTCGTGGGCTATGGGTTTTAGGATTGGGCTTTGCCCAATATGTGTTTTTTGAACAAATAAAATAATTATTTTATTTTATCTTCCACGTGACCTAGATTATAGAATCTATATTTCATACAATGCGGTCTAGAACACACGTGTGTTTCAATTGTTGCGATCACAGGAAATGCTATTTGTACACTTCAGTGTACAATTTTCTCACAAGAGAAGGGTCCACGTGGCAGAAGTGTACATAGGAGTGTACATATGGCCAAACCTTGTGATCATTCATCTTTCAATCATTATGTCCCTGTTAGGCGTAGACTAATAGTATGCAACTTTTATGTTTTGGATGAATAATATGCGTAGTATTTTTGAAGTATTAATACTATTTGTTTAAAGTAATTGAGGTAATTAATATTGTTAAAGAAAAAATTAATGTATATAAAGTGAAAATATTGAATAGACTTAAATGTAATTTTATGATTACAATAACACTTCTTTGTAAAGAATATTTTTATTAACGTCCCACATCTTTTGTTCTTTTTATTTTCTGTTGTATCACGGCTATTAAAATATATATATATATATGTGTGTGTGTGTGTGTGTGTGTGTGTGTGTGTGTGTGTGTTATTTTAATTGATTATGTTAATTGGTAATTTACACACAAATTACTCGTTTTTCCTAGCAACCAAGCTTATCTAATAGCCAAAAAATAAGAAAAAATAAAAAAACATTTACAAGACTCAATCAACTTATAAGTAGCTTATGCTCATTATTCAGATGGACATTACTAAGAGAATTAGTAAATAAAAATAGAGAGAAAAAGAATAACATTATCTTTTTAGCATAATCAAAAAATTCATTAAAAGACCAAAACAACCATGCTTTTTTTCTTTTCTTTTCTTTTTTCTTCTTCTTCTTTTTTGTGTGTGTGTGTGTAGAATTCGTCTCATGCAAATCGATTTCTCCAAAACTCCAATTCCCAACAAGAATAAATTCACATACATGAACACCATCTAGGCTATTTTCGAATTTTGAGAAACTCTAGCCCAAAACAAATTGTTTTCATTGACAACATCTCTTACCTTCTCACGTAAACTTTTAGTTACAAATTTTGAACATGGAGTAGAACAAGAAAGTTTGGTTTTTTTAGCTATAATGGTCTTAATTACATTTATTACATACTACACAAAGCAGCCCTGGGTCTCTCTTCTCATTTATTTACATTAATTAAAAAAATAATCATCTCTCAATCCCTTTCACATGCTTTCCATTGGTAAAAAATTCAAAAATGTAGTCTCAACAGATTCTCTCAATCTTCTTTCATGATATGTTCTCTTTATATATTGAAAATTTTAATTTGTTAATATTGTGTGTGGACGGTTTAAAATTTCAACCCATATTATAATGTTATAATGATTTATTTAGTTTCACATAATTATGATAAACATATAATGAAAAATAAGAAAAAAGCCACTTGAACAATCCCTGGATGTCCAAGGAGCTACCACACAATCCCCTGGGCAACCAGGGAGTTGTTCAAGTAGAATAGTCGGAAAAATAATTGAGAACTTAAGTGTGAAAAGTGAGCAAAGATTATAAATATTTGTTGCGATTATAATGTTGTGTAGTTAATAAAGATTTTAGTGGGAATATAATCACCATATCATTTGGTACAAGTTTGATCTTCTGCCCACAATGCAGGAGTTATAATGTTCACTGTGAGCGTGACAACATGTGGTGTTGACACGTCATACCTTCACAGTCGATTGGGCAGTCCCATGTTGTCACCCTATAGTGGATATTATAACTATCCTCCATTATGGACATGAAATCAAATCTGTCATATGGTATTTCGTTTTTTTTTTTTCATTTTTTTATCTAAACTTAGGTATTATGGGAATTCATATGTAATTGTCAATTAAAACAACTTTTAAATAATGATAAATATAACGTAAAATGAAATTTTATCAAATTATATAGTAATATCAACCATGCTATATGTACATTATGGTTGACATCAAAGTTTACAGTTTTCCATATGACTACATTTACACCCTTGATTTTGAACCCAAACATAACATTATTGCCCAGATTTCTACCCCACAAGTGGGGATGTCAAGGAAGGTGTCAAAGAGAATGTACAACTAGCATAATTCTAGTCACATTTTGTATGCATTAATTGTATAACATTAAATATATTATTTAGTTGTTGGGATATGTGCGAAACATGTGCGAAACAACAAAGTGAAATAACCATTTAAATAAGGGAACATAGATTTATTTTTTAAACGGACTAATCCAACCAAGTGAAGAAATTTAAGTTATATTTTTATAATAAATGATCGTTCCTTCTCAATCTAATCAAAGTAGACTCTATTCTTGAAATCAGATTCATCATGTAGTGCATGTAATTTCCCTTTCGACTTAATTTTATATTATAAACGATAAATTATATTTCATTTGAAAATCAATCGGCTGAAAGATGAGATCCATATCTAATTTAATATTATTAGTGAATATAAATTTTAAGCCTAGGTGAACATATTAATGCAAACTTTCAATTTTTTCCTAATTTAATTTTCTTTTTGTGAATTAATATGCGTTTTTAGTAGGCAAAGAATTTAAATTGACTATTTTTAGAATAATAACTAATGGATGTTATAAATAAAAAATAAAAGAAAACTTAATGCATGAATTAATGTTAAATATTATGCACTAATGACATGAATGTTAAACATAAATTTTAGTGCTAAGATGAACCTATGAATGCAACCTTTCAAACTTTTTTCCATTAGTGAAATAATACGTGAATGTAAATCATAAATTTTAATACTTAGATATGTATTATACGTGAATGACAAAATATACACCATAAATGTTAAAATTGATTTTAACATTATTATGACAGATGAACATTATAATATCAATTTTAACGTTATTATGACATATGAACATTATTATATTCTTCGAAAACAC